AAAAGCTCATTATTAATTGTTGTTGGAGATGTTTTTTGGTTGTTTTTAAAAACCGTGGTTTTGGTTTGTTTGGGAATTAAAATTTTATAAGTGTTTTTGTTTTGGTCTAAAACCTCAATTACTGCATAGTTGGTTTTGTTGTGAATGAGGTTTGTGTTTTGTGTCCCGCGCAAGTTCAGGCCGGAACTTAAAAAAAACAACCCTTCTAATAAGGCGCTTTTGTTGGTTGGGGTTTCGGATATAAAAACGTTTAGTTGTTTAAGTTTAAACTGCTGGCGGCTTGAAACGAGAAGGTTTTTTGTTTTAATGAGTGATAACACGATAATTAAATTCAAATCGGCATAATTAGGTGTTGTGTGTTTGTGTTGTCTTTGGCTCGAATTTTGAGCGGTCCGTTCTGTTCCGAAAACTCCAACACGATTTCTTTTGCCGAATAAGCGGCCAAAATTTCAAGCAAAAAACGCGATTGAAAACAACTCTTTTGATTAGCGCCATTAATCGAAAGGGTTTTTATTTCTTCTTTGGAGTAACCTATTTCGCTTTGTTCCGACGAAAACACAAAAAAACGATTGCTTTCAATCGACAAAAACGTTTGCGGGAGTTTGTTTTTTTCGGTAATCACGCTCGCTCTTTCAATCGCTTTAATTAGTTTTTCGTTTTCACAAACTACAACCGTTTGAATTTTTTGTTTCATTTGTTGTTCGGTGTCAGGGAAATTTTCTTGAATTGTTTTTGTGGTTATTTTTGTGTTTTCATCAAACACAAACAACACCTCCCCTTCCGAAATATACATTTTGATTGTTTGCGTATCGGACAAACTAAGCCCTCGTTGTGTTTCGATAATTGATTTCGCGGGGATTAAAACATCAATGTTTTTGTCAACGGGGCCGAGGTTTTTGCTCGCGATTCGAGTTGTGTCGGTCGCGGTAATTAATAGGTTGTTGTCAATTGTTCGAAAACTTATTCCTTGAAAAACCGCTTGAGCATCTTTGGTTTGTGTGGCAAACGCGATTTGAGAACAAATTTTTCTTAAATCGTTGGCCGAAATTTCTATTTTTTCTTGAGTTGTGGTTTCGTCGTTCAATTTTCAATATTCGTTGCTTAATAAGTTGATCTCGTTTTTTGAGTTTTCTGATTTCACCGCAAGTCTTTTGTTGTCTTTGATTTCAATGGTTGTTTGCGCTTGAAATCTTTGTATGAGTTCGTTAAAAAGGTATGCATTAACAATGACTTTGCCTGGAGATGAGGTCTCTATTCCCTTGTCGATTGTTTTTTTGATCGTCAACACTCCGTCGTCTACATAAATGATAAGCTTGTTGTTTTTTGCTTCTATAAAAAAAGCTGATTCTAAAGGGGCGCTTTTGTTGTAGGGAATTTTAGCAATTGTGCTTAGTGTGTTTTTTATTTCTAAAGGGTTTATTTTTATTTTCATTCTTTTTATTATTTTATATGTTAATGTTATTAGGTTGTGGTTTTTTGTGTTTTTGTTAAAAGGTTCTTTTTTTTATGGCGTTTTGAGTCGGGCGAGTGTTGAAAAAAGTGTTAACTTTTATTACAACTTTCTCTCAACAAATTTATTTCCTTTTTTACTTGAGGGTTTTTTTGCATTTCTTTTCTCACCTTTTTGACAGCGTTAACGGCCGTTGTGTGGTTTTTTGCTTTAAAGTACTTAGCGATCGCGGCGTGGCTTTCGTTTGTCAACAAACGAGACAAATAAATCGCATAGTAACGAGCCATCACAACTTCTTTTTTTCTCGACTTGGACGACAAAGAATTGTAGGTTAAACCGAAATGTTTAGCTACCAAACCTTTAATTTTTTTAATTGATATACGATCCGGGACATTAAACTCAACATCCCTAAATATTTCGTTTAATAATTCTAAGTTAATTTTGGTTTCTTTTTTGCCGCTTAAACTAAACACAATTTGTTTTACTGTGCTTTCAAGCTTACGAATGTCGTGACGAAAAACTTGAGCGATTTTTTCAATTACATTTAAATCAACGTTATCGGCCGTGCCGCGAAACTTTTCGAAATTCAGTTTTATAATTTTGTGTGCGGTTTTTAGATCTGGGCGAGTGATTTTAATTTGTAAACCGCTCAAAAACCGAGACTTTAATCTATTATCAAAACCAACAAGTTCGTCCGGGTGTTTGTCCGACGCAAAAACCAAATCAGCCCCTCGTTGTTGTGCCGTATTAATTATTTCAAATAAAACCTCGTTTGTTTTTGTTCTTTCTCCCAACACCTGAACATCATCAATTAAAATTATGTCGTTTTCCGCAAATCTTCTTTTTAATTGTGACATTTTGTTTAGATTCCCCATAGATTCAACCGCTCGAGTACCAAAGTCGGTTGCGTGCTGATAAATTAAAGTTCTGGTTTTGTTGTGTTTTTTCATCAAATTCAACAAATAAGTTTTTCCCAATCCGGGATCAGAATAAATAAAAATAAAACCTCATTTATTGTTTTTTTGCAATATTTTATGAGCCACTTCATAAGCCAAACGATTAAAATCACCGACGACATAATTATCAAACGAGAGTTCTGTTTTTTGGTTTTTGTTCGTTTTGTTCTGGTTGTTTATTACAAAATTCACTACACACCTTTGTTCAAAACAACGAGCAAACAACTTATCCAATCCTTCTCGACAAAGTTCTTCGCTTGCTTTTTTTGTCGGTACGGCAATGAATATCGTATTTTGATCAATTTTTTGTACAAATGAATCATTTAAATATTTAGTCTGAAAATATAAATCATAATGTTTTTTTTGTTCTTTCACAAAATTTTTTCAAGACATATTTATGTTGTTGATGTTTCACATGATTGAATAAGTTTAATTTTATTTAACTTTAAATAAAAATTATGAAATAAAATTATTTTCACACTATTTTCACACTTTGTGTTTTTTATTTATGTTGTTTCGAGTAGTTGTTATTTTTATTTTCACATATTTGAAATTTTCTGACTTGTAACAAACATAAGCAGAAAAACCAAAAACTCTATAATGACCGAGTATAATAAAAAGACATAAATGAAAAGAACCTATCAACCCAAAAAAAGAAAACGACTTAACAAGCACGGATTTCGCGCTCGTATGGCAACTCGAGCCGGGCAAAAAATTTTAAGCAATCGTCGACAAAAAAACCGTAAAAAACTTACAGTTTCTGAAGAATAAAAAGTGTCGCACTTCAGTCTAAACAACAAAACAATTCAATCAGTTTATGCAAAACATCTCAAATTCGTATTTAAAGGATTGATTTGTTTAGTCGCTCCCTTGCCAAATAAACCGCCTAAGTTACAATTCGCGGTAATCATTAGCCGCCAAATTAAAAACAAACCTCTGAGGAATAAGATAAAAAGACAAATACGGGCTTTGATTATTGCCAATGCTCAATTTTGGCAAAACTGAACGAGCGTGTTTATTATAACTTTTAACTATTTACAAAACACAAACCCCAACTCTCAACAAAAAATAAACGAAATTCAAAAACAAATTTCTGCTGTAAAGATATAAAATAATAATATATGAAAACTCGTAGCCGATTTACTCATTGAGAACAATTAGAAAAAATTTCTAAACCCAAAACACACCCTTTCAAACGTTTTTTAAAAATTATTATTAATTTATTGTTATTGTGTATGGTTGTAATCTTTTTTTGAGGATTTGGGACGATTATCTTTAACTCAAATGTAAGCTCAACCGAAATTAAAACAACAGGTTTTGGGCCCAACGCCGCCACCGCATATGAAACTCGTATCTTCTTTGATATTACATATGGCTTTGAAGATGTAATTCAAAACTCCGCCGGCAAACTAAAGAATTTTAAACGACATATTTTATTTATTCACTCTTCAGGCGAACTTCAACAATATCGATATTATTTAGCCAATGATTTTCAAAGTATGTGAGAAACATCTAAATCAGCCGCATATGTGTTTTTTGTTTTGCCGGTTTCTTGAATTCTCACTAAAATTTCTTTACTATTTGGATGAAGTGTAGATGCCATTAATTCAGGCAATAAAAATTTATTTAGTTTTATCGGAGCTTTGTTTCTTACTACCTTAGGATTAAGACTTTTAGGTTTTGTTGGTGCTTGACAACAAAAAAAGAATCAAACTAAAATGGAAGCCATTAAAGAACAACAAGCGATTATCAAAGCTAAGTATGCTGACTCTCAGGATCCGAATGCCAAACAAAAAGAACGACAAGAAACTATGTTGTTATATAAACAACAAAATGTAAATCCGTTTTCCGCGGCTTTACAGGGATTTGCTTTTGCCCCGTTACTACTCACGGTGTTTATTGTTGTTCGTTATTCACGAATTGTTAAATTATCGGGTAGCGAAGTTTTTTCGTTAACTCGATCAATTTGAACTCAAATTAGCAGCAACTTTACCGAACATGCAATTTATTTAGTACCATCTGTTGTTTACTTAATTATTTTTGGTACAGATTTTGCGGTGAGTGAGTTTTGATTAAAAAAACAAAACACTAAATTTGTATCCGCTTCGCCATCAGCTAAAAAAGGACCCAACAAACAAAAATGAATTCAGTATGGAATGAAAGTGATGTTTTTAATTTTCTTCTTTATTGTCCCGACCGGGACCAGTCTATATTGAATTTTTAGTTCGTTTTTTGAATTAGGACAAAAACTCTTTCTGGAGTTTTTGAGTCGTTTACAAAAAAAGAGAGCGGTCTTGCGAAAGAAAGGAAAAACTCTACCCCTATGAAAACTTATTTTTTACACTCCGAGTCACAAATTAAAAAATATTTAAAACTCAAACACTTTTCACACTATATTATCTTGCACAAAAGCACTTGATTGTATTTTTTTCCTCGCTGAGAGGTCATGTTTTACAATGATGAAGACATCAATTCTCATTTGATTTTTCTCGTAAAAGATTTATTACAAACCGAAATCAATATTGAAATTAAAACCATTCACACTCAAAAACCGAGCGAAAAACACTATGTGGTTCAAATAGACACGAATCAAAATGGACTTTTGTATGGGCGATTTGGGCAAAATCAAAAATTTTTATCTTTGTTTTTTTCGCGGGCCTTATCCCAAAAGTTCCGTACTAAATATGAAGTAGAATTTCAAATTGCCAGCTCAAGCCCATTCACGAACAACCCAAAAAAATATGACAAACGAGAAAACAGATTTTCTCAACGAAAACCGTTTAAAAGTTCTACCAGTATATGAAACAAAGCAAAAGAATATGAAGAGAAATGCTTGACTTCACAGGAAACAATTACGATCGATAATCTCACCAGCACCGAGCGATTATTTTTTCATCGATTTTTTCGTAATCATGACAAAATTAGATGTTTTTCCACCGGAGACAAACAAAATCGAGTAATTAACTTAAAATTCACCCAATAATTGTAAAAATGCCTATTTTTGATACTCATTTTCATTTATTTGATTCACGTTATCAAAAAAACAAAACTCTCAATGAAAAAGTTATTTTGCGGCATGCTCGCGATCATAAAGTGCAATGATTGTGTAATGTAGGAATTAACTTAGAAACGAGTCAAAAATGTGTAAATCAAGCTCATCAGTATAAAGAATTATATGCCGCGGTGGGATATCATCCCTCCTATGCAAATCAGTGAAACAATCAATCGCGAACAGAATTAGAAAAACTTTTACAACAAAAAAAAGTTATTGCAATCGGTGAGATTGGATTAGATTATTATCACGATTTCACATCTCCCGAATTACAAAAAAAAGTATTACATCAACAAATTCAGTTAGCTTTAAAATATAATTTACCCGTTTTATTACATATTCGAGAAGCTTATTTAGATACAATTGCAATAGTCAAACAATATCCTCAACTTAGAGGAATAGTACATTGTTTTAGCGGATATTTGGATGATGCTTTAGTGTTTTTAAAATTAGGTTTTTATATTTCTTTTTCCGGAACACTTACTTTTAAAAATGCTCATAATTTACACGATACCGCCGCTCGCATTCCTTTAAATCGTATTGTCGTGGAAACCGATGCCCCGTATTTAAGTCCGGTGCCTTATCGCGGCAAAATTAATTTACCCGGTTATATTCAACATACTGTGTCAAAATTAGCCACAATTAAGAATATGGCTGTAAAGGAAGTGATAAAAATTACTACTCAAAATGCTCAAACAGTATTCAAATTAAAGTAGTGAAAAAAAATTTATGTCTTGAAAAACTATTGTTGTTACTAAAAGCGACAAAATTTTTGTGAAAAATAATAAATTTGCCTATCGCCGAGATGAAAACACAATTGTGTTGCCATTTACCGATATTGATTGTATTGTTTTAGACAATAATTACACTTTGATCACGACTCGATTGTTGGCCTTGTTGTCCGAATATAATATTTTTGTATTTGTTTGTGATGAAAAACACGATCCTCGAGGAATTTATTTACCTTTTACGACTCATTGACAACCTTTAGAAATTTGAAATTTACAAATGAATTGTAAATTACCTTTTAAAAAACAAATTTGAACTCAATTAATTCGTGCTAAATTATTTAACAGTATACAAATTTTAGGAAAATTAAAATTTGAAGAAAGAGAAATTGATAAAATTCAGCGATTATATAAAAACATCGCTCATAATGATGCCAATAATTATGAAGCGGTGGCCGCCCGTATCTTTTTTCGTTGTTTGTATGGTAGTGGTTTTGTTCGTCATACGGATACAGGAATTAATAAAGCATTAAATTATGGATATAAAATTTTAGCTTCGGCTCTGAGTCGCAGCATTGCCAAATACGGACTATTAAATTTTTTAGGCATTAATCATCGAGGAAAACAGAATCCCTTTAATTTAGCTTATGACTTAATTGAACCTTTAAGGCCTTTAGTTGATTATTTTACGCATTTAATGGGAGAAGAAATTGATCGGGAATTGCTTTACAATCAAAGATTAAAATTGATTAATTTATTACAATTAAGATTAAAATTAGATGGAGAATTTAGAACCGTGACGAATGCGATTGATTTATATGTGGAAAGTTTTTTAACTAGTTTGAAAACTCAGGATTCCTCAAAACTGAAAATTCCTCTTTTCATTCATTTCGAAAAATGCAAGGAAACGGAAGAAGAAAATGAATGATAAAGTTTATGTTTCTCGTTATCGAATTATGCGCATTTTAGTTTTTTATGATTTACCGACCGGCACCGTTTTGCAAAGAAAAAATATGCAAAAATTTCATATGTTTTTATTGAAAAATGGTTTTTATATGATGCAAGAGTCAGTATATGGATGTCTCGCAAAACATTATGATTATGCAAAAAGCATTATGAATCGTATTCAAAAAAATGTTCCGCCGGCCGGAGATGTGCGATGTTTGTTAATTACAGAAAAGCAATACAGTAAAATTCAAATTTTTATCGGTAAAAAATCTCTACAAGAAAAAGCCGCTTCAATTGAGCCTATTTTAGAAATTTAATGTCATGGAACTCGAAATCACTACTTCAATTTTTCTTAAACAAAAAATTCATATCTCGCATCGAGTTGCCTTTTTACTCGGCGGGAATTGTTCCGGTAAAACTCATTTGTTAAATAATTTGGAAAAAGGTTTTAAAGGTAAATCCAAAAAATTTTTAGTAAACGGATCGCCGGTGGCGACGAGCGATTATCAAATTTTATATCTCAAAGACAATTTTAGTTTTAAAGAAGAAATTAAATTGACTAAGAAATCAGTTTTACGTAATTACTTGATTCAAACTATGAATGTTTTGTTGTTAGAAGATTCGAATTATGCTGGAGTTACAAATAAAATTACTAAACTGGCCGAATCTATGAACACTTCTATTAATCGTATATTTGCTCATAATTTATTTGCTTTAACCAAACCTCAAATTCAGTTAAAGTTTAATACAAACAAAATTAATTTAGAAAATATTATTGATCATTTATTGGATATTACATTGTTAAATACGGAAAATGATGAAATTTTAGAAAATGATTTTAATCAGTTTTTGTTGCGAATGTTAGTTTTTAACATATTGCGATCAAGTTTGCATGAAACGGATGCGCAACGCCCAATTGTTATTTTGTTTGATAATCCGGAACTTTATACAAATCCCTATACAATGAATTCTTTAATTGTGATTTTGCGTGAGCTTTTAAATACGCGACAATTTTATTTAATTTGTGCGACTAATAGTGTCAGTTTTATTACGAATTTTCGTCCTGACTTGCAAGGATTGAACTTTATACAAAAACAAAAAATAAGTTCTTTACCTTTCAATGATATTATTTCGAAAGCGATCGCTTTTTATCATTTTGTGAAACAAGACGAATATGAAGATTGAGATTGATATTGATCGGATTTTCAACAAGTTTTTAATGCGGATGATTTGTTAAGAGAAACTAATCAATTTTATTTTGATATTTTTGCTAATTTTTTGCATTTATTTTATTTTCCGCAAATTGAATTGGATGTAATGGATTCTGCTTCGCCGACGAAGAACGATAAAAATGTTTTTTATTTTCGCACAATCAAAGAGATAATTTTTTTATTTTTTTTATTAAAATATTTGTCCAAAGAAGTTTCTTTTTCTTCAAAAATTTTACAAAAGTATCCTGATTTATTGAAAATAAACGAAAAATAAAAAAAATATTGGTGTGTTTTTTGATTTTTGTTAAATAAATAAGCCTCAAAAAACACTATAATAATGTTACGGTCTTATTTATCTGTCAATCTTAATAAAATAAAGACGCAATTATTTAATTCGTTATTCCGGCCATTGTCTTATTTATCTGTCAATCTTAATAAAATAAAGACCTTTTTTGAAATTCGGCGATTGTTTTTATTGTCTTATTTATCTGTCAATCTTAATAAAATAAAGACTTCATACTTTTTCAGTGTCTTCAATAATGAGTCTTATTTATCTGTCAATCTTAATAAAATAAAGACTGAAAAATAAAGTAATCTTTATGAATTGCAGTCTTATTTATCTGTCAATCTTAATAAAATAAAGACCAGTTGAAATTTGAACCTCGGATAATGGGAGTCTTATTTATCTGTCAATCTTAATAAAATAAAGACTTTATGATCTCTCCATTCTATTTTTCTCTAGTCTTATTTATCTGTCAATCTTAATAAAATAAAGACTCTTTTTGCTCTATGAACATTAATAATGTTGTCTTATTTATCTGTCAATCTTAATAAAATAAAGACTTGAAGAAATTTGTTATCACCTGCCAGCCAGTCTTATTTATCTGTCAATCTTAATAAAATAAAGACAAACAAAATCTTTTTGCTGATTATCGCCGAGTCTTATTTATCTGTCAATCTTAATAAAATAAAGACTCTTATGTGGAATCTCATTAGGCACTGCCCGTCTTATTTATCTGTCAATCTTAATAAAATAAAGACAATGAATCAACTCGGATTTGACTTAGAAGGAGTCTTATTTATCTGTCAATCTTAATAAAATAAAGACTCAATTCCGTTAACAAAAATGATTTCATGTGTCTTATTTATCTGTCAATCTTAATAAAATAAAGACCAAAATTGAAAGATTGAATAGTCGTTTATTGTCTTATTTATCTGTCAATCTTAATAAAATAAAGACACTTTGTTTTTCAACACTCGTCGTCCGCCGGTCTTATTTATCTGTCAATCTTAATAAAATAAAGACGACCTTGGTTCAAGATTGAATGTCGTAACGGTCTTATTTATCTGTCAATCTTAATAAAATAAAGACAAAATCATTTGGGCGATGTGTAAATAATGTGTCTTATTTATCTGTCAATCTTAATAAAATAAAGACACTGTGTGTTGTTGAGAAAGAATGCTCGATGTCTTATTTATCTGTCAATCTTAATAAAATAAAGACTATATGTATTCGAGCTATCGAACCAACTGGGTCTTATTTATCTGTCAATCTTAATAAAATAAAGACTGATTCTTTAAATCTTTTTCCGTCGATTCAGTCTTATTTATCTGTCAATCTTAATAAAATAAAGACACGGCCACACGGCGAATTTAGAGAACTTTTGTCTTATTTATCTGTCAATCTTAATAAAATAAAGACATTACTCCGTCACTGAAACTCGGCAATCAGGTCTTATTTATCTGTCAATCTTAATAAAATAAAGACGATTTAACACTCGTGTGTCGAGCAAATCGTGTCTTATTTATCTGTCAATCTTAATAAAATAAAGACACTCAAACTGGTCAGATTCATTCACAAACAGTCTTATTTATCTGTCAATCTTAATAAAATAAAGACTAAAAAAGCAATTGAGTTATCTTCTTTGTTGTCTTATTTATCTGTCAATCTTAATAAAATAAAGACTTTTCCGTATTGAATCACATCAGCTTCATCGTCTTATTTATCTGTCAATCTTAATAAAATAAAGACTTAATCAAATTGTCTTAAACGAGCTCGTCTGTCTTATTTATCTGTCAATCTTAATAAAATAAAGACTTCTACGACGGAATGAAAAGTTCCCCCCGAGTCTTATTTATCTGTCAATCTTAATAAAATAAAGACTCGAAAAATGTCTGTCATTGAAGGTATCGTGTCTTATTTATCTGTCAATCTTAATAAAATAAAGACCGCAATTAAATAATCTGTTCCTGCGATTCCGTCTTATTTATCTGTCAATCTTAATAAAATAAAGACCCACAGAAAACAATGCTGTTGCTCATGTCGGTCTTATTTATCTGTCAATCTTAATAAAATAAAGACCAAAAAAAATATTAGAAACCACGGAAAAATGTCTTATTTATCTGTCAATCTTAATAAAATAAAGACCCTGTTTTTCTTTTTTAGACAGTAGAGAGAGTCTTATTTATCTGTCAATCTTAATAAAATAAAGACAAAAAAGTGGCGCATCTGTTTTTGCGTGTTGTCTTATTTATCTGTCAATCTTAATAAAATAAAGACTAAGCATTATTTGAAACACCAAATTTTATTGTCTTATTTATCTGTCAATCTTAATAAAATAAAGACCAAGTCCTGTTAATCCCTTGCCCGGAATTTGTCTTATTTATCTGTCAATCTTAATAAAATAAAGACCTCGTGGGTTTGATTCAGTAAAGGTTAATCGTCTTATTTATCTGTCAATCTTAATAAAATAAAGACATTCGCATACGAGCATTCGCCGTTATTGCTGTCTTATTTATCTGTCAATCTTAATAAAATAAAGACATCTC